TAGCATTGTTGGTTCTGTGAGCAGATTGCACATCTTTAGTCTTTTGATACTACCCTTTGGATGAGTCCCTAACGATTTTTTTTCACAATTTGAGTAGAGTTATAGTCTATATGTTATTATAAAATACTTTAATGTAGTATGTTGTTGCAATTCTAACAAAATCTTAAAATTATGTCTAGATGAGAGCTTTTTATTTTAAATTTCAAACTTTCTTAATGTTTATGGATTGTGGTTTATAGTTTGATTTCCGTAACAGCAGGTAGTTTTGAGATTGGCATTTAAAAGAATGCTAATGGGGTTTTCCTCTGAACATGGCCACATAGACACCACTCTGAGAATCACATTTAGTTTTGAGAAAGAAATCCATATGAATCTTTACTGTGTGAATGTTACAATGTGATTTGTATATATATTTCTCAGGAAGAGTTATGCCTAGATGTGATACCTCAGTGATGTTGCATTAATTTCCTCTCTCTAAAAATGCATATACGTCCTGTCCTTTAGGTTTCAGTGTTTGAGAAAAATAACTTAGAATACATTGTCTCACTAATAATTTTGCTAAAGAAAATTTTCTTAAACTAATAAATGTTAAACTTGGTGCCCAACTATTGCAAGAAATATTAAATTACAATGGAGCAGTTCATGATTTAGTCCTCAGAAATAGACTAGGAGAAGAAAAATGTTTCTTCCCCACTTTCACTTTGTGTATTCCACAAGGTTATGCCAAATAAATCTATGTTATATTTTTTTCCCACCAAAAATAGGATGCAATAAATATCTTTAAATTCAATTTAAAAAAAAGAAAGAAAATTATTCTTAGTCAAAATCTGACTTAATTGTTAAAATCTGCTTTTATTTTTCTAGAGTTAAGCTGAAGTTTGTAAAACTAAAGAAATACCTGAAGGAAATATGTGAATCAGAAAAGAAGGCTCATACTCGAAACCAAGAATATTTAAAGCAGTTTGAGTGTATCCAAGCTCATGTTGGACACTTTACCACAAATACAACGAAGCTTAAAGAACTGAAGGTGACATTTTGTTTTGTACTGTGGTTTTATAAAATCTTTTTTTTTTTTTGCTAAAATTAGAAATAATTAGCAGTGAGTTTCAGATCAGTGGTAGTCAAAATGTCAGTTGTTCGTCTATAAGATTGTCAGTTTTCTTCATGAATTATCATGTGGCCATATTTTTATCAGAGAACTTGAAATTGTATTTTCTCAGATTCCGACTTTAGTTTAGAAATTAATGGAATATCTATATTTTGTTGTAGTATACAAATTGTTGACTTAAAATAGGCACATGCATCACAAGCCACTACCTGGCACATGGTATTCATTGGCCTCATGGTTGAATTTGAGCAGCATTAGAATTCTCTCCAGAGTCTGCTTCCTTCTTTATATATTTTTTATGTGGTCTGGACTCCTCTGTTCTGGTCAGGCAGTGTATTTAGGGAAGACTGAGGAGTTCACCTTCATGCTCCTCATCTTATGCCCCAGAGCAACTGCTCTTAGCATCTCTTTCTGATTCTGGTGTCCCATTCCTTTAAGATGCTTGTCAACTTTCTGCTCTACAAGTTATGCCAAATGTGGAGGGTGAGGCCTTTTTTCTCATCATTTGTGTTGGTCAGGGTTTGTTGCCCAAGTTAACCCACTGAATACTGGTTACAGGAGAAGTGGCTTCAGTACTTCTTTTTTTCCCCCTCTAGCATTTTTCTCCCCAGCCTTTTATTGTAAACATTTCAAGTACACACAAAAACATTAAAAGAATTATTCTAACAAACAGTGATGCTATGGTCTGAATGTTTGTTTCCCCAACATTCATTTGCTGAAATCCTAACCCCCAAAAGTGATATTAGTAGGTGGGGCCTTTGAGAAGTGCTTAAGTCATGAGAGTGGAACCCTCATAAATGGGATTAGTGCCTGATGAAAGAGGCTTCGGGGAGTTCCCAGCCCCTCTCACCATGTGATGACAGTGAGAAGGCGGTTGCTGCCAACCAGGAAGAGGGCCCTCACCAGAAGGTGACTGCTAGTACCTTGATCTTGGACTTCTCAGCCTCCAGAATGTAAGCAATAAATTTCTGTTGTGTATAATCCACCAATCGGGTATTTTGTTGTAGCAGCCTGAATGGACTAACACAACTCTCTACTCTCCACCTAGATGTAGTACTTATAAATGTTTTGCCATATTTGCTTTGTGTGTGTGTGTGTGTATTTTTGTTTTGTTTTGTTTTTTTATCCTCACCCGAGGACATTTTTCGATATTTTGTTCAGATAGAGTGAGAGGGAGAGAGAGAGAGAGAAACATCGACGTGAAAGCGACACATCGAGTGGTTGCCACCCACACGACCCAACCAGGGCTGGGGACAAACTGCAACCAAGGTACGTGCCCTTAGCGGGAACCGAACCCGGGTCTCTCTGGACCGCAGGCCGACGCTCTAACCGCTGAGCCAGACCGGCCAGGGCTGTATTTTTGAAAGTACGCTGCAGACACAATGACAATTCTCTCCTAATGGACATTCCCATACATAATCATAACACTATTTATTATCACACCAAGAAAATTAATAATAATTTCATAATATCACTTAATTTCCAGCCAGTATTTAAATGTCCCCAGTTCCAGACCAGGAGCCAAATATGGGTCACACATTACATTGGTTATTGTTTCTCTTGGTGTCTCAATCTAATTTAGTCTCCCACCATTCTTCCTTACAAAAAAATATATATATATATATATATATATATATATATATATATAATTTAGTCTCCCACCATTCTTCCTTACAAAAAATATATATATATATATATACACACACACACACACACACACATATATATATATATTTATATTATACTGGCTTTTTGAAGAAGGAAGGTTTGTAGAATGACTCACATTCTGAATTTCACTGGTTATTTCTTCGAGGTATAATTTAGCTGGTATGCGTGTATTATGTACCATTGAGTTGGCTCCATTCCCTGGCAATACTATGAATGAGTGATGTCCACAGTGTCCTGTCCTCAAGCTCCTATAGACTCATGCCTATGGTTTCTTTTAAGGAGTTAATCCATCTCATATTTGGTCTTCCTCTTTTTCTGTTGCCTTTTATTTTTTCCAGCATTATTGTCTTTTCCAAAGAACCCTACCTTCTCATGAAGTAAATTAACTTGTATAGCAACCCCCCCCCCATTTCCTGTAAACTGGAAATTCAGTTTAGATGAGGACTGCCTAATAGAACTTTCTGTAGTCATAGAAATGTTTTCTATTTACTGCTGCTGTCCAGTACAGTAGCCACTAGCCACACATCGCTATTGGATACTACTTAAAATGTGATGCTGAGGACTGGATTTTTAATTAGTTAAATAGTCACAGCTGAGGTTATATTCTTTCTACTGCATCCCATCAGGAGGCTAATCAAGGCTGGGTTTGATGCCTTGGTTAAAATGGCAATCTCTAGATCTCTGTATTGTAAGGTACTTTTTTCCTCAGTAAAATAGTAACTAAATCTGTGGTGTCAGAGATCGGGGTTGCAGGGGAGGTTTTAGCGGTGAGATACCCAGGGTAAAGAAAGCTTGAGGAGCCAACATCAGGAGGAATCAGCAGCAGCTTTATTCAATACTTCCAACAGTGTTTATAGACGCATGCAATGGGATGATCTACACGGGGTGGTGTGTGGTGCATGCGTCCTAGGCTTTTGCTGTGTCATGTTTATATAAGAAAACAGGGTCTGTGCCTGTGCAGCCAGTTCTGGGTCATGTCCTGAAGGCCTCTCTCAACAACAGGCCAAGTTGCCAGGCCCTAACACTCTATCCCCTGGAGGCTGGATGTCGGAACTTGACCCATAAAGCATTTTCCTGTGAACAGAACCCACAATAGCAGTACAGGGTGCAGCACATTATTACGAGACCTCCCTGATATGTGGTGGATCACCACTCCCTCTTTCAGGACCTGCTACATATCTTTCTCCCACAGGGATCAGTGGCCTATAAGCCACTCCTAGGCTGCCCAGCAAGGCAGCCATGGGGTTAAGCCCCTATATACCACCCAACTATCAGTGCACACATGCATACAGTCAGACTCCTTCATTAACACTATCCACATGGCTCTTCATTCGGCCCATTGACTCGAGCTCCTGTATCATACCAAAAACTATCTGTACCCGGTTGCAGGGCCACTACCACCCACGTCGGTGGCTGGCCTCAGCAAAAATCATCAGTATACCAAGTACCTGCCGCGGAGGAGGCTTTCCCTCCTCAAAGGGATGGAGGCTTTCCTCTGCTTTTGCAGAGGGCTCCTCCTGTTCTGCCCTAAATTGTATAGGTTCTAGCAAGGAGTGCAGCTCCTGCGTCAAGGGGCTGGTAGAGAACCGGTAGCCCTCTGTTCCAGTTACTCTCCTCACTTTGTCAAGTGGGGGTTTGGGCCACCCCTGTGCATGATCAGGTAGTCAACGACCAGAGCCACCCCTCTTCTGGTTGGTCATTTGCATTGTGACAGGACAAGGACCAGTGATACTTCCACTGGCCAATAAGGCTGCTTACACTGCTGCCAACTGCTTCTCAATAAGGGAGTACCTGTAAAGACTTTCAGTTCTCTTCTACAATTGGAACCAAAATCTGATGGGACTCTTCCAAGCCCCTTGTTTCTGTCAGAGACCCCAGCCAGACGCTGAGTCATCCACCTGTACAGGAAGAACGGCAAAGCCAGATCCATGACTCGCAACATCTGAGCCTGGGCCACCGCCCGTTTCATGGCCAGAAACGCTTGCTCCACCTCAGGAGACCAGTCCCAGGCCTCCCCTTTTCAGATCATGCGGTGGAGAGGTTTCATCAACATGACTAAGTGGGGTATAAAGATTCGCCAGAACCCTAGTAATCCCAAGTATTTCTGCAGTTGTTTCACTGTTTCTGGCTGGGGATAGGCCTGTATCTTATCTATAATTGCCTCTGGCATAACCTTCATCTTACCATCTTACCTGACCAAACAGCATCCAAGAACTTGACAGAGTATCCAGGCCTTTGGACTTTGTCCTCGACGGTACACTCCCAGCCCACCAGGACTTCCTGAATGCTACGTGCTCTGGCTTCTAGCTCTGCAAGAGAATCAGAGGTCAACATCATATCATCAACATAATGGAACAAGTGTAGATGCAGAGGTTTGTTCCAGGACACTAAGTCCTGGGCTACCAAACCATGACAGAGCATGGACTATGCAAATAGCCTTGAGGTAACACTTGGAACATCCATTGCCTTTCTTCCCAGGTAGAGGCAAACTTTTCCTGACTCTCAGGGTCAATGTCTATGAAGAAAAAGGCATTAGGCAAATTCACAACACATTGAAACCACCCCAATTCCTGTGACAAGCAGTCCATCAATTCAGTGATATTCGGTACCACTGTGTGTCAGGGCAGGGTAACCTGGTTCAGTTCTCTGTAGTCCACAGTCCTCAAGGGCTGTCCGTGTCACCATCCTCAGCCTGCTCCCCCAGGGTTTCATCTGTGGCTGGGGTGGGGGTGCTCCTCAGGTGATGGGGATGGGCTGAGGTCGCACCTGCTGCCTCCTCCCCATCAGCCACAGGCTCTGCAGGTGCTTCAGGCCCTGGCTCAACCTCTGCCTCCTTGCCATCCACCACCTCCTGAGTGACCCTCTGGTGGCAGGTCAGAAGCCGGCTGCTGCTGTCTGGGCTCAGCCCACTCCTTGGCCACCTTGGGCACCACTACGTTCTGTTTCCTGCATGGGCCGGCCACTTCTGTTGCACCAAAACCTTCTGCACCTCCTCAGGCCAGGAACGTACAGCTTCCAGCAGCGTCTAGGCTATTAGGTATTCTGCCACTGGGTACTAGAGGAATGATGGGGGCCATATCCCTTCCACCTGGGGCTGCTCCTTGTTAGGGGCTGTTGGGATACCCACCTCATCCTGCCAGCTATGCCAAGTGTCATCGACTGGAGGTTTTAGGGGAGGTTTCAGCAGTGAGATGCCCAGGGTAAAGAAAGCTTGCAGAGCTGACATCAGGAGGAATCAGCAGCAGCTTTATTCAATACTTTCAACAGCTTTTATAGACTCATGGCAACAGGATGATCTACATGGGGTGTTGCATGGCGCATGCGTCCTAGGCTTTTGCTGTGTCATGCATATGTAAGAAAACATGGTCTGTGCTTGTGCAGCCAATTCTGGGGTCATGTCCTGAACCACGACCTCTATCAACAATAGGCCAAGTTCCCAGGTCCTAACATACAGGGTGATGGTGTGACATTTTGGGAATATAATTTCTCAATAGCCTTTTACTTACTGGTTTTAGGATCCATTAATGATGCCTGAATCAGTCATAAGGGAGGTTTTGAAATGGTGATTGTCTAATCTTCTACATCGATAACTGTTGATTTCTTGCTATAAATAAATGAAAGGGAGAAATTTGAAGGGAAGAATTATCCTTATCAATATCAATATTACTATATTGAGAGCATCTGTTGAATATAACAAGGTATGTAAAAAAACTTATATAATGAGCTATTAAAGAATAACAGTATAGGGGACCATCTTAAAGAAAGAATGCTAAATTGTAGGAACTTGTAAAGCTTTATTCAAAAGTATGGTTCAAAAAATACATAGATATTACTTTTTAAATTTTGTATAAGAAATGCCTTTTATTTTATTTATTTATTTATCTAATTTACTTTTGTTACAGATGTTTCTCCTTTTTCCCCCACTGATTCCCCCCTCTCCCCCCTCTCTGTCCCCAGTTTTGTTGTCCATGTCCATTGTTCATGCACACATGCATATAAGTTCTGTGGTTTATCTCTCCCCCACCACCACCTCTTCTGGGAATTGTAGGTCTATACCCCACTTGCACGTCTCTGGGACCACCCCATTCCTCAGACTGTTATGTTCATTATATTCCACAAATAAGTGAGATCATATGATACTTATCTCTGTTGGCTTGTTTCGCTTAGGATAATACTTTCCAGGTCCCTCCATGTCGTCTCAAAGGATAAGAGATCGTACTTTCTTACAGGAGCATAGTACTACATTGTGTATATAAACCACAGCTTTTTTTATCTGTTTGTCTACTGACGGACATTTGGGCTGTTTCCAGATCTTAGCTATTGCAAATAGTGCTGCTACGAATTTGGGGGTACATATATTCTTTCTGATTGGTGTTTCAGGCTTCTTAGGGTATATTCCTAGAAGTGGGATCACTGGGTAAAATGGACGTTCAATTTTTAATATTTTGAGGTAACACCATAGTGTTTTCCATAGTGGTTGTACCAGTCTGCATTCCGTCAAGCAGTGTACTAGAGTCCCCTTTTCTCCACAACCTCGCCAACACTTGTTTGACGATTTGTTGATGGCGGCCATTCTGACAGGTGTGAGGTGATACCTCATGGTTGTTTTAATTTGCATCTCTCTGATGATTAGTGATGTTGAGCATTTCTTCATATGTCTCTTAGCCATTTGTATGTCCTGTTTGGAGAAGTGTCTATTTAGTTCCTCTGCCAATTTTTTAATTGGGTTCTTTGTTTTCCTTTTGTTGAGTTGCGTGAGCACTCTATATATATTGGAAATTAACCCCTTATCTGTTACATCATTGGCAATTATGCTCTCCCATAAAGTGGATTTCCTTTCCATTTTGATGATTGTATCTTTTGCTGTGCAGAAGCTTTTGAGTTTGATGTAGTCCCATGTGTTCATTTTTTCCTTTGTTTCTGTTGCCTTAGGTGATGTATCAGTGAAAATTCTGCGTAAGATGTCTGAAATTTTGTTGCGTACAGTTTCTTCTAGGATTTTTATGGATTCATGAGTCACATTTAAGTCTTTTATCCATTTTGAGCCTATTCTTGTGTATGGTGTAAGTTGATGGTCTAGTTTCATTTTTTTGCATGTAGCTGTCCAGTTTCCCCAACACCATTTATTAAAGAGGCTGTCCTTACTCCACTGTATGCTCTTGCCACCTTTGTCAAATATTAATTGAGCATATTGCCTTGGGTCCATTTCTGGGTTCCCTGTTCTGTTCCACTGGTCTATATGCCTGTTCTTGTGCCAGTACCAGGCTGTTTTGATTACAGTGTCTTTGTAGTATGACCTGAAATCTGGTAATGTGATTTCTCTTACTTTGTTCTTTATTTTCAAGATTGCTGTGGCTATTCGAGGCATTTTTTTGGTTCCATATGAACTTTTGAAGTATTTGTTCTAGTTCTGTGAAGTAAGTCGTTGGTATTTTGATGGGGATTGCATTGAATCTGTAGATTGCTTTGGGTAGTACGGACATTTTAATGATGTTAATTCTTCCAATTCATGAACATGGTATGTGCTTCCACATTTTTATATCTTCCTCTATTTTGTTTTTCAATGACCTGTAGTTTTCTGTGAACAGGTCCTTTATTTCTTTGGTTAAGTTTATTCCTAGGTATCTTAATTTTTTTTCCGCAATGGTAAAAGGTTTTTTTTTCTTAGTTTCTCTTTCTGTGAGTTCATCATTGGTGTATAAGAATGCCATCAATTTCTTGACATTAATTTTGTGTCCTGCTACTTTGCCAAAATCACTGATTAAGTCTAGTAAATTTTTTATGAAGTTTCTGGGGTTTTCTATGTATAGTATCATGTCATCTGCAAATAATATGAGTTTCACTTCCTCCTTTCCATTTGGGATCCCGTTTGTTTTTTCTTCCTGTCTGATTGCTGTGGCTAAGACTTCCAGTACTATGTTAAATCAGAGTGGCAAAAGTGGGCATCCTTGTCTTGTTCCTGTTCTCAGCGAAATGCTTTTAATTTTTGCCCATTGAGTATGATGCTGGCTGTTGGTCTTTCATATATGGCCTTTATTATGTCGAGATATGAACCCTTTATTCTTACATTGCTGAGTGTTTTTATTAGAAATGGAGGCTGAATTTTGTCGAAGGATTTTTTAGCATCTATTGATATGATCATGTGGTTTTTATTATTCAGTTTGTTTATGTGGTGTATCACATTTATTGATTTGCGAATATTGTACCAGCCTTGCATCCCTGGGATGAATCCCACTTGGTCATGGTCAATAATTTTTTTGATGTATTGCTGGGTCCGATTTGCGAGTGTTTTGTTCAGGATTTTGGCGTCTATGTTCATCAGGGATATTGGCCTGTAGTTTTATTTCCTTGTAGTGTCTTTTTCTGGTTCTGGAATTAGAATTATGCTGGCTTCATAAAACGAGTTTGGAAGTGTTCTTTGTTCTTGAATTTTTTGAAATAGTTTGAGGAGAAATGGGTATTAGTTCTTTGAATGTTCGGTAAAACTCCCCCGTGAAGCCATCTGGGCCTGGGCTTTTGTTTGCTGGGAGAGTCTTGATTACATCTTCAGTTTCTTCTATTGTTATTGGTCTATTCAAGTTTTCTATCTCTTCCCGGTCCAGTTTTGGGAGACTACGTGTTTCTAGAAATTTGTCCACTTGGCTTAGATTGTCGAATTTGTTGCCATATAATTGTTCATAGTAGTTGTTAATGATCTTTTGTATTTCTGTGGTGTCATTTTTGCTTCTCCTCTTTCATTTCTGATTTTGTGTATTAGTATTCTCTCTGTTTGTTTCTTGGTGAGTCTAGCTAAGGGTCCATCAGTTTTGTTTATCTTTTCGAAAAACCAGCTGTTTTTTTCATTGATCCTTTGAATTGTTTTTGTTTTTTTTTGACTCTATGTCATTTATTTCTGCTCTGATCTTTACTATTTCCTTCCTTCTACTTGCTCTGGGGTTTTCTTTTTGTTTGCTTTCTAGTTCTTTAAGTTGTGATGTTAGATAGTCTATTAGTGAGTTTTCTTGTTTCTTGAGGTAGGACTTTAGTGCTATGAACTTTCCTCTCAGAACTGCTTTTGCTGCATCCCATAGGTTTTGTGTTGTTGTGTGTTCATATTCATTGGTTTCCAGGAAGCTTTTAATTTCTTCCTTGTTCTCCTCAGTAACCCATTCATTGTTTAATAACATGCTATTTGGCCTCCATGTGTTCAAATGGCTTTGCATGTTCTTGTGCAATTGATCTCTAGTTTCATGCCTTTGTGATCTGAGAAGATGCTTGATATTATTTCAATCTTCTTGAACTAGTAGAGACTCAGTTTGTGTCCTAACGTGTGGTCTATCTTTGAGAATGTCCCATGTGCACTTGAGAAGAATGTGAATTCTGTAGTTTTGGGGTGTAATTCTCTGTAGATATCTATTAAATCCATTTGGTTTAGTGCTTCATTTAGAGTCTCTGTTTCCTTGGTAATTTTTTGTCTAGAGGATCTATCCAGTGATGTCAGCGGGATGTTGAAATCCCCTGCTATGATTGTATTACTACCGATTTCTCCTTTGAAGTCTTTCAGAAGATTTTTAATATGTTTTGGTTCTCCTATATTCGGTGCATATATGTTCATCAAGGTTATATCTTCCTGTTGGATAGAGCCTTTCAATATTATGTAGTGCCCTTCTTTGTCTCTAATTATGGCTTTCATTTTGAAATCTATTTTATCAGCTATGATTATTGCTACCCCAGCTTTTTTTCCTTTTTGTTTGCTTGAAAGTTTTTTTTTCATCTCTTCACTTTCAACCTATGTGAGTCTTTTGTTGTGAGGTGGGTCTCTTGTAAACAACATATATATGAGACACGCTTTCTTAACTAATCAGCTATTTTGTGTCTTTTTATCGGAGCATTCAGTCCATTTACATTTAAGGTGATTATTGATTGATATGTACTTATTTATTGCCATTTTTGTTTAGTGTGGTTATATTTTTCTTCCTATTTCTCTTGCAAATTACAGCAGTTCTTTTAATATTTCTTGCAGTGCTGGTTTGGTGCTAATGTATTCCCTTATCCTTTTTTTTTGTCTGGGAAGCTCTTTATTTGACCTTCTATTTTGAATGATAGCATTGCTGGGTAGAGTAGTCTTGGATTCAGATCCTTGTTTTTCGTGGCCTTGTTTACCTCATACCATTCCCCTCTGGCCTGTAGTGTTTCTGTTTAGAAGTCAGATAATAGCCTTATGGGGGTTCCTTTGTAGGTAACCTGTTGCTTATCTCTTGCTGCTTTTAGCATTCTCTCTGTCTTTAATTTTTGGCATTTTGATTACTATGTGTCTTGCTGTTGGCTTGTTTGGATTCTTCTTACTTGGGGCTCTCTGTGCTTCTTGAACTTGAATGCCTTCTTCCTTCACTAGATTAGGGAAATTTTCTGTCAGTATTTCTTCAAATATATTCTCTAACCCTTTCTCATTTTCTTCTTCTTCGGGGACTCCTATGATGCAAATTTTATTACGTTTCCAGTTGTCCCACAGTTTTCTTAAGCTGTCTTCCTATTTTATAATTGTTTTTTTCTTTTTGTTTTCTGATTCGTTGATTTTTTCCACTCTGTCTTCTAATTTACTGATCTGGTCCTCAGCTTCCTCTATTCTGTTTAGCCCTTCCAATGTGTTCTTTATTTCTTCTGTGTCATTCTTCATTTATTCTTGGTGGTTTTTAATTTCCAACTGGTTGATTTTCAA